AACCCACAGCCCTCATCCCCCCAGGACCCACAGGCTCGCACTCCCCATCCCCAGGACCCACATTTCGTCCAGGACGGTCTCCCTCCCAGGGCCCCGATCCCCAGGACCCCCGTTCCCCCAGGACCAAATCCTCTGAGTCCTCCTGGACCCACCCTCGCCCCCAGGAGCCCCATCTCCAGGACCCATATTCCCCCGAGACACCCCCCTCCCCCAGATGTGCATCCTCCAAGACCTCCATCCCAGGAGCTATATCCCCCAGGGACTTGCATTCCCTGGGGATCCGCATCCCGTGGGAACCCCCATCCCTGAGACCCTCATCCTGATGTGCTACACTGCATCCACCCAGAATCCACATCCCGTGGGGACCTGTAGCCCCCCGCAGGGACACACATCTCCAGGGACCCACATCCCAGCACTCCACATCCTTCAAGGACCTGCTTCCTCGTTATCCTGGTGCCTAGCACTCCTTGGGGCTCCCATCCTCAGCACCCCAGCGCCTTGCATCCCGCTGGGGAGACAGGGTGGGGGTGTCACTATGGGTGTCCCTTGCAGGGAGAAGGATTATCTCTAATCAGGCCAGCTGGCTGTGGTGGGAAAAAAAAAAAAGACATGCTATGAGGCACCCAAGGCTTTTATTTCAGCACACTTGGTGAATATAATCTAGTTTTCCAGGAGTACTTGTCTGCTTAATAAATAGTAAACCCATTATCTACAACTTGTACTTTGCCTTTGTTCATACAACAATCTCACTGCCCCTAATAGTGAGGTTTGGGTGGGCTTTGCTATATATTATTTGGTGCATTTGGCAGGAAGCAGAAAGACTGATTGATGGGCTGTGGTTTCCCTCAGTCTTTGTTGCTTCATCAAGACTGAGCTTGTAGATTTTTAGTAGAGATTTTTAGTCCTAAGCCACTTTTTTTTTGTGAAAAATCAACCACTTACTAACATTTCCTATAAACTTCTAGGACTCCTGAAGTCCTCGCTTTTACTGAATGTGTTGGGGCCTCTGTTTCCCCTAAAAAAAAAAAAAAAGAAAAGAAAAAGAAAAATTCCCAGGAACTTCTTGAAGTGTTTTGCCCATCTCAATCAGATTTGAGGGGGGTGAAATGGCTTCATGTTCCAAATCAGACTTCCAGGGTGGTTCGAGTTATAGCCAAGGGATGTGTGGTTTCCCCTCTCCTCGCCAAAGCAGGAGCAGTGAAACACCACTTACAAGAAAGGTCTAAAAAGGACGTAGAAAAACCTTTCAGAAATGATATCTCTGAATTTTTGCGTTGGCAGTCCAGCGGGCTCACTCTGCGCCCAGTAGTCTGTGTGCATTCAGACCGTAGTCATCTCACAGTATTGTTTTGGGGCATTTCACTATGGATAATCTTTCTGAAGCAGAACTTTATCCATGCCCGAACATGGATACATAAGTCTTAATTTCCATATTCCAACTTGTAAAGTTCACTTTGAGTGAGTTCTGCACAATTATGTGAAGATACACACCTGAATTTGCAGCTATGGACTTCTGTGCCTAATAGTTTGAGACTTGAGTTGACTTGAGAGCCAACTGTCCCAACGCCAGCTCTGCTGCTAGTCACAAGAGTACTGTGCTAGGTTTCCTAGGAATCTTTCTTTCACTTTCTCTTTCCTTTTTAATTCTATGTTTCCCACATATGTATGTCCTACATATCTATATCTCTGTTGGCTGGTGGGAATGGTACTAAATACAGAGTGAAGGTAAAATTTGGTTCTAGAGAAGGAGCCTGTGGAAAACAGGAAACTCCTCGCCTTGTCCCCTCCCTTCCTGCCTCCGGCTGGAGCTCAGCTCTGCTTCCTTCTCCCTAGGCACTGGATTCAGTTTACTTCACGGGGTTTGCAGAGACCAACAAGACTTTTGTGATTGCTCGTCTTGCAAGACGTCCCGGTGGCATCTGCGAAATGTGGCTTTTCCTGAGAGTGGCTGGGATAGGAGAGTTTGAAGTAAGTGGCGCACTAGAAGGCGGCTGGGGCTGTGGGGTGACACTCAAGACGGTGCTCAACACCTAGCTTGAATTTATATTATGATCCCAAGCAGAAGTGCTCTGCATCTTCACTGCATTAACAGTAGAACATCAGAGCTCTGAATAAAGACAGTTACAAGCAATGCTTGGTTTCTTCATCCTTCTTAAAATAATGAATGCATCCTTGGATCCACCATCTCTCTGTAGCTCTCTTCCAGTGATAGTAGCAGCGATCGCTGGAAGCCAAATATGCCGTGAGACCTGTTCTCATCTAAAAAGATTCATTAAACCAAGGAGCAATAGACATGAAGGCAAGAAAAATGTTTCTGAGTACCAGTGAAGAATCTGAGCTTATAGTCTTTGTGTTAACATACAGCATGGGGTTAATAAGTTATGTTGTATCGTTAGGGTTGATTTTTCTTTTTTTTTTTTTTCATTAATGGATGCTATAAAAGTAATTGTGGAATTGTCATTGTGTGAAAGTCATTGTGGGTTTCTTTTCTAAGAGAAAAGAAAGCTTTATGGAGTTATATATTCATCCACGTCATTCTTACTAAAAAAAGAGGAATATTAATAATATGCTTTGCCTGTGGATTTTCTTTTTGTCAATAGGTGACTACATTGTAAAGGAGGAAGAAAGATCTGGCATAAATCTCTTTGCATTCAACTAACTACCTTTACATTAGCAGATTAGTTTGCTAAGTAGCCATGACCACAAAAAAGCAGGAGGCATCCTATTTGTAGAAAGCCAGAAAACAGAAGACTGAGGTGCACTGTTTGGTTTTCTATTCATATTTAGTAGTACAGCAATGTTTCTGTTTGGCTGAGTTATTTAAGAACTGCCAGTCAAGGTCAGGACCTTCTTAGATACTTACTTACAGCAGCAGGTATAAGCTCTCTTTCAGAAAGTTTAGCAAACAAGACTTATTTCCAAAGCGTAGCTGAAGACTCTGGGGAGCTTGTGGCCACTAGAAATTTAGTTCATTTTAGAGTTTCATCAAATTCAATCTAAAAATAACTTTAAACCCCTAGAGCCCTGCATCTGCTTGGCTGGGCTAACCTCTTAAAGGCTGCAGCCTTTCACACAAATAATTCGGCTGTACGATCTGAAACATGTTGTCCAAGAACTCAGGTGTTTTAGATGCAATTTTTCCTCTCTATTCTGTGGTTTCCCTAAAGCTGGTAGAACCTAAGAGCCAACTGAATCAAACGTTCCTCCTCCAACAGGCCGTCGGAGTGGGAATTCACCCTCATTTCCTCCCTACAGCTGCATTAAACAAATGTTTTCCTGAAATGTCTCCGTAGCACCCGCAGCATCCAAATATGATGGTGCGCGATGAATCTGAAGAGCTTTGGCATGGTGGAGGGCTCACCATTGAATACTTAGAGCCCCAGAACCACTGGAAAATAAGCTTCGAGGGACTGCTCAGGTACTGCAGCACTCTGTAGTTTCATTTATCTGTGTTTAAGCTCAGCAGTCTAACTTAGACTTCAGACTATGGCTTTTTGAACCCTACCTGGAAATGCATCTCACCAACGTGAAGCAAAAGCTATAAGGTAACAGTCACAGCTGGTAATTCCTGCAGCCAGTGTGGGGCTGTGATTGTGTTATTATTCTACCTTAGCACATAGCAGCTTCATTCTTCTGCGGTGTCTCCTGTTATATCCACTTCCAAATGTGCAAGATGCTTTTTGCTATTGGTTTAGGAATAATGCAAAATTACGGTGCTTTGTCTTACAGAAAAGGACCCTATCGGCAGCAGTGGAGCAAAGAGGAAGGCGAACTTGTACCAGTTAAATTCTCTCTCCTGTAAGAGCTTTTTCACTTTGTTCTGGGATGTGTAGTAAGTTCCTAGTTAAAGATTTGGTTCATTTGTTGAAGAATGTGTAGATGAAACCAAACTTGTGACATAATCAGGACCTCAGTGTTTGTTATTTAGGAAGTCGTCACAGCTGAGATCGCAGTTTCTGGTATATTTTGGTGGGGGGCAAGCTGCTTTAAAAGTATTTTAGAGCTTCTGTAAGAAAATGCTGTGGTCTCCATATACAGTGGTGCCGCTGTCTGGCCTGTTTCCTACATTTCATCTTTAGGAGTAGAAATAAAGCCCAAGTAACAAACAAATATAGGTTAGGAATGATTCTGGCGTATACTTGTGCAGGAGCTCTGCTCATCTGACTAGGCAAAAGCACACAAGCTTTTGGTAGCTTTTTAGTAGCTTTAGCTAACACACATAAAGACACGTTCTCTGTTCAGAATATATATTTGCAGTTTTACTACATTTATCCACACAGTTACTGCTTTCAAAGGGTCATGTGCACAAAGATACTTTGCACTAAAATGCACAAACGCAGACCTTTCCTCTGCCTCCACTTTCTGCTGTTGTTTCCCTGCAGTGCAAACACTACCTGCTTTATGGTCTCTATTTGTCTCATAAAAAATGATTTGCTGTCCAAGTAGCAGAGTGCTTCTGGTGTGATGCTGCCTATGTACCTCCAAGCAGACTACCCGAGAGAAAGCAGCGCTGCTTTGGCTCACGGCTCTGCCTATCCAACTTCCCTTCCTAAGCAGTCTGTTGACCCTCGCTGTGCTGTTATGCAGGTGTTGTTGCTGTTCTCTGTTTCCTTTTGATTGATTTCTTGAAAACTGGTAACATTTTAAAAAATGACAAAAATCACACGTTTCCAAGCGTGATAAAATGCGATGGTTGCTGTTGTAAGTGTAACAAGTGCATGACTTGGCCTGGTACAAACCGGAAGCTGATAACGGCTTTTATTTTTACCCCTCTTTTGCTAGTTGGGAGAACTTCACGGAAGTCTTTAACTTTAGCGTCGACAGTCACCCCCGCACATTTGTACGTGCTCTTGCCGAGGAACCATGGAACATCGAGTTCTTCCAAAGGGTCAAAAAGTGAGAGACAACATTAAACTCTGCTGGGGGTAAAAGTAATTTTTCTACAGACCTCTTCAGGATCTGTCCTGTGTTGTTACAGGTGATTTTAGAAGATTGAGTTTAATTTAAAGTGAGCAAATAAAGGACAAGGCTCCTTTCAGGTATCTCCTGCGTTAGGTCACCACAACACTCTTGGCGACCTCTAAGGAGGCTCCTGAGCATGAGCGGGGTCTTCCTACCACTGGGGTGGAGGGACATCCCCACTCAAAGGCTGCAGTCTTGGGCTGTAAAACCTTGAGGATTAGGAATATTTCATTTTCAGTCTCTCTTCACTGTTTAGCAACCTGACTTAGGCCTCTTCTACAGTCAGTGGTGTTGGTATGTCTAAGGGAAGGGTTGAATGTGAAGGGAGGGCAAAAGTAGGTGTTTAAACTACTACGAAGGCTTTGGAGAACTGTAAACACAGGGAAAAAAAACGTGTACATCAGATAGTGTGTTGTCTTTGTTGATGTAGAGCAGCAACTGTTGGGTGGTATTTCATTTCTGTGAAACAGAGGGCATTTTCTGTAGTCTCTCAAGGTGGGAACTTGCTGTTGTTTTCTTCCTAGATGTCTTATAAGCATTATGCAGCAATAATTTGGAAATTTAGAAATGTGTTTGATAATCTGTAGACTCTAGTATAACCATGATCCAGATGCTCTGAAATCTTTGCTTCATTTGGGGATTTAAGTCCGTCAAGTTGGCACTGGGGACAGTATGAACAGCAGCCTCGTTGATTTTGCCCGGGTTGATCAACTCTTTCTTTTTTCTTTCCTCCAGACTAAGGGAACATTTTCGTCATGAGCAGTGGGGCCAGTCTGTTGGAGAAATTGAAATAGAAAATCATGAGAAAACAAAACTTTCCCTCAAAGGTGTTCGGAGCCACTCTTACGGTAACAGCGCTAGAAACTGTTCACTCACCTGGCAAACTACATAGTGACACTGTTGCTGTTAGTGATAGGACTGTGGGTTCGTGATGGAGAGCATTTGGTCCGCTCGTGTCTCATGAGCTGCTACAAAGGCACTGATACACTTGTAGCTGTTAAAATGTTTCGTGACATTTCCGTAGTTTGGGCAAGCATATAAACCTGCCGTCAGTCTGACTTGATGAGCTGCTCTCCTTCCCTTTCCGTTAGGCCCTAAACTACTGGAAAAAGGGGAACGATCCATCTTATTCACGTCTATCTTATTTCCTTCTGCTGATAAAAACAGTTCCATTACTGTTGTTTGGGGCAGGTATATGCTTAGCACGTTATCAACTACTAGAGAATTTCTTTAGCCAGAGTTAATGTCTGTTACCATTATTTCCTATTGTCCAGCAATGGTGACCTTCAAATTTGGCGATTTTGTTCTTGTCTTTTGCAGGTATCCGGAACTGGTCTGAGATTTACCGTTATGTCATGATTTTGGCACGCTTTGAGGTAGGTATTAACATGCCATTACGCCACTTAACGATGAAATTGCAAGCATGTCTAAACTTGTCAGTCATACTTGAATATCCAGCAATAGTGCACTGAGGGGAACCACGGTGTGCAATCAGAGGTGCTCACTGGTGCCACCAGTAGTGCACATAAATGCTGGAAGCAATTTGCAATAGTAGAGCCATGTGAATAGTAGCTGAGAATTTTGTTACATTGGTTGAACCAAAAAATTGTGCTGATTAACTTGAAACCATTTATTTTTGCTTTTTTAGAAAAATTAGATCAGTAGCTTTACAGGACAGATTCTCAGCTGCTGCAGATACTCAGAGCTCAACGGAGTTGATGCAGTGCTGATTCCTGGTAGCTGGGAGTCTGATATTCCCGACAGCATCCTAAGCCCTCATGACAGCAGTCTGCAAATACGCCTGCCTGTACTCAGCTTTAATTCTCTTGCTTTGCTGCGGTGGCTGTGCTGGAGTTGCATCTGCTCTGTGGCTGCTCGTAGCCTGGGGACATCCTGAATCCCGGCCTTACCTGCCAGCACACAACCTGGCAGATGCTTATGAAAAGGCATAAGGAAGTCTAAACTGTTTGTTGAAGGCAGCATTTCAGGAATTAAGGCAGAATAAAAAAGCTTTCCCGGGTATATATGGGTCAACATAAAAACACACCTTGGAAAATCCCACGTACGCCTAAATCCAGGAGCTGCTGTGATTTAACATACGCAGGCTAGCTTTTAATAAGACGGTGCTTGTGCACTGTGGCGTGTATCATCAGATAATAACTTCTCCCCTTTCTTTGTAGTTACTCAGGACTCAGGACTCAGAATGCCTGCTGCTCAGAATGCTATGTCTCCCCCCCTCCCTAATTAAAAGCCATTTGAGTGTTTGTTAAGGAGGAATTAAAGATAATCACTGACTGAAGTTTGGAGTCCTCACACCCTGAGTGTCTTTACATGTATAATGTCACAACGTAGACTTATATTTGCCTCAAAGCAGCTCAAATAAATGGAGCATGAAGGTATTCAGGCTTAAGGGTGGAGGAGTAATGAACAAACGCATGGATTCCAGTTACTTCTTATTTAACATTTTTCCTGTGGGCTGCTCTCAGACATCATGTAATACAGGTTAGAAGACACCTCTAGTCAAAGCAGGGCCAACTTTGATCGGCTTGCTCAGGCCTTTTCTGGCGGTTTTGAACATGACTAGCTGAAGTCTCTGCATTTATTAGTTCCCTTCTCCTCTTACATATGCTTGCTGTGGTCTTTCTATTGTCCTTAATGTCCTTAATTTATATTTAATGTGCCTAGTTTAAATTCTTGGATCCGCATTTACAGCCAGATCTTCATGTAAGATGTATAGAGAAGGTTTCAAAGTATAAATTAATAACAGGTGACATAATCTGAGGTGTACCTAGTGTCCTCTTGAAGTCAGTATACAACCAGTAGTATTCGTCTGCACAAACTAGACTTAGTTCTTTCTCTATTGCTCTCTTACAGGACGGGACTGCTGCACATTTAACAGTTATTAATATGCCAGCAACCGCAACCAAGTAAGTAACCAAGGAAGTCTGCACTGCTGTTTACACACGTCTTAAAGATGAGAGAAGTTGCTCTGCAGGACAACTGTACGTGCATTCTTGCTTAGACCTGCATAGCCCGGTGTCCGTCCACACCGCTCTTTCTCATGCTCTCCACTCCCTCTGCCCAGTTTTCCATTTGCAGTTGGTCACAGGGCCAGCTTTTACTTTCAATTACTGCATTTACATGCCATTACTATTTGGCTGGTACAGCTGCATGGCTGAGAGTCCATATGATTTAGAGGTACAAACTGGACACTTGCAACTCTTTGAGAATGTGTCTCCCTCCATAGTGGAGGAAGCGGGATAAGACTCAGCCATGTGAGTGTGGCTGCAGCTGAAATCTCAGTGTGGCGCTGTTATATGAGTGCTTCGGGGTTTCTCTGCAGGATGCCCCCCTGTGCAGTGGGAGCATGCTTTGTGATGTATTTTTGCCTTTCCAAACATGCATGTGAGAAGCTGGAAAAAGGCGTTAAAGACCGAAATCAGCAGATTACTGCCGCAGTGCCTCATATCTTAAATCAGAAGATTGCAAAGCGCATTCAGATGGTTGCCAGGCCTAATACCGTGTTTTGGTGGAAAAGCTGAACCCAAAGAGTCCCCCAGGGACCCAGCTACTTGGTTGTCTTGCAAACTTCAAGGGAAGTTTCCTTTTCTGTCCTGCCCGTCTTCTGCCCATTTCACAATCCTCCTTCCTGCAAACCTCATCCTCTCCCCTGCATGCATGGCTTCCCCTGCCTGGAGCTCACAGCCACGGCTGAAGCCTGTGCTCAACTCTGAGCTCTTCTGGAAGGCCGGAGTGCTGCTCCATCTGAGTGTAGGTTGAACTTTAGCTGTGCTCCGTTTCTCTCCCCTTCAGCCTCACTGTAGGCTACGTCTTTTTCCCCGATGGGAGGAAGGCTGGGATTGAGTGGTCCAATGCCTCGCTGGCCCAGATGGCTGATAACGGGGTTATCGAAGATGAATACAGAGTCTGTTTTACCGCCGGTAAGTTGAAGGTAGCCTGTGTACGTCTGCCTTCAGCTTTTCGGCATGCAGCTGCTTTCTACAGACTGGGGGAAAGACTGTTCAGTGAAACTAAGAAAGGCATGATCATGCGTTTTGTCATGAGTATGAGCAGTACTTCCAAACTGTGATTTTGTTGGTATTTATTTCACTTGACTGTATCTTATATCCCAGCTATTACGTTCTTCCACCTTTATGTTGTTTCTTTCTTCTCCATCCTCCCATGTGACTCTTAGGCTAAATGCATCTTCTCCTCCTGTGCTTAATTTCAGTCATATGTGTCTATCATCAGGGAAACTATTTGTGCGAATAAGTACAAGGGCATGCGCTGTTCGTTGCAGGATCTGGCCATAGGCAGCTGTATCGGAGGGAGGGTTACGGTTTTGTTTTGTGGTGCCTCTTGCTTTTAATCCAGATGAATGGTGTGATTTTCACTTTTAGGGGGTCAAAATGTATGTTAGGAGTTAGAGTGAGCTGCTTTGAAAACACTGGTTGATCAAAGATTGTATTTCGTTTACAAAGCAGTCAGGAAAACTAGTACTCTTTAGAAAAGTTTAAGGGAGCCATATGTAAAAACAGTAGATCTAGTGCATTTGGGGGACTGAATACTGCTGGAAGTCAGAGACATTCTTCCCTTTTTTTCTCTTAACGAAGGTGGCAAGTGCTTTGATGTTTCTGCCACGCTTGATAAGCAAGCTTGCCCTGTGGTGTACAACGGCCTTACCGGGAGCGGAGTGTTTCACGAGTGCATTGCGGATTTCCAGCTCAACGGGTTAACACCGGGCTGGGGCTTGGTGGAGTTTTACTACAGGTAAAATAATGGCAGGCAAAAAGAGGTGAATAAGCTCCCCAGGTATTAGAAATATAAACGCACAGGTTGTCAGCTTTTATTTGAGTTAAAGAAATATTATTCATTTTGTGTTTAAAGTGTTAATTAGATTAACAAATATAGTATATTATTAGAAAAACAATGGTTGTGCAAGAAGCACTTTGTACACACAAACCAGCCATGGCATCTTGTTCAGTTGTTTTTTATTTTTGGACTCTCTTTATAGGTTTGGGAGTTGGTGGACAGTCCATTTTGGAGAATGTCTTATTTAGGCAATGTAGTCGCATTATGTAAAGAATGAGTCCTCTGTCACCAACAACAGACGAGCCGCTTTTGGCGTGAAATTTGCTCACACAAATATTTGTCAGACTAGAGTGCAGAACAGATAAATATTGAGCAAATCAATATGGGAATGCCTCTTCTAGGGGAAAGGATTTTAGTGACAAAATATGTGCTTCTCGGTGAATTGCTAATTCTCCTGTCATATGATTATCACAGCCTTTTACTGGAGCCTTTTCTATTTTGAGTCTTTTCTGGAAAAAAAAGGCAAATATGGATGTGTACATACAGTTTGCTTTTTAAAATAAACATGGGTTCTGGGCTGTCAGAGGAGATGCCATAGAGGACTCTCGGGAGATTGAATGTTCAGCTTTTTCTGAAAATCAGACCCTTCTAAAGCACATAAAATAGGCCACTAAACTCCAAAATGCACACCGGCTGAACGTGAAACCCTTGGTCTGTGGCTGTTGGCCAGGCGTCTGGTTCGTCGCCTTCGCCGCATTGCGGGGAAACCTACCGGCTCAGCCATCCCGCCGGGAGAGTTTCCTTCAGCTAAACCACAAACAGGTGTCCACAAGTCCGGACAGTCCTGGAAATCTCTACATCCACCCCAGGCAGGCTTAATTTGGTAATGTCAACAAAATTCCCACAGGCTCCTCTCTCATATCTACTTCCACATCAAAACCATGATGGAAATTGGAGGGTGGGTGCCTGGTCCCCACCTTGCTGCGGGATGCTAACTTGTCGTCCGTCTGTCCTTGCAGAGATGAAGTCGCCCGGCCGGTTCCTCACTCGCCTCTGGGCGCGGGAGCCGAATGAGCCACTGCATCCGTGGGGGATGTTCGGGAAGAGCCCACTTCTCGCAGCAGCACATTTAGCGGGTAGCAGGACTTGCTTTTCTGATGGCTTTGGGAATTCAGGCACATGGTCGAGCTTATCCCAGCACTGTTAGCAGGCAGCAGCTTTCCGACTATTTTATTCCCCTCAAAAAACACAGTTTGGACGTTGTCACAGCATGTTGCGGAGGCCAAGAGGCTAAACGGATTTGGAAAGAAATTAGATAAATTTTTAGATGTGCGGCTCTTAGTGGCTGCTAACTGTACTTGTCTGGAGGCAATTTAAAGGCAATCTCTGAACAGCTGATGGCAGGAAGAGTGCACGAGAAGGGATCACTCTCCACTGTCTTCTTCTGGCACTTTTCCTAAAGTATCAACTGCTCCCCACAGTGAAGACCAGGAAGCTGGACTACATGGATCTCTGACCCAATTTGGTAGTTCCTTGCTTCTTTCAGGTTTGTTTTTGAAATAAAAGTTCTATCTTTCTGAACTCTCCAGTAGTTACAGTCATTGAAAAATGGGCATAATCTCTTATGAGAGAAGTTGAGCTAGGAGAAGTAAGAGAAAGTGCATCTGAATGAGGTGTCCTCTAAGAATAGCATTAACCCTGAGGCCAGCAAAGTAAGTGACACAAGCACTTTTTCCTCTTGACTGCAGAGAAGCCAGGGTCCGGTAGTCCGAGTTTGAAGATGATCTGAATTTCTGCTCATTCACTTGAAATCAGATGCCATACTCATCACATGGTCCCTCTTAGTCCCTGGTAGTAGCTGGCCCAAGGTAACTTCAGTCGATTCTGCTTAGGTTGCCACCAAAGGAGAAATGCCACTTCTGAGAAAGTTCCTGCAACTTATTACTATAGCAATGCTATATGCAAAAGACTACATATCTATCTAGCGCTAGAATACAGAAATACTGATCCTGCTGGTATGCGAGCTGGAGCATCGGATGGAGCAGAGTAATTTCTTCCCAGAGAGCTGTGAAGGAGTTCACTGGTATGATGTAAGAGGCGGGTATGATGTCAGAGGTGGGTATGAGGTAGCAGGCTGGTGTCATCAGCAGTCTGCTCTCGACCTGTGCACGAGGACAGAGAGGTGATTTTCCCCCCTTTGTGTTGCCGGGCGCTTTGATTTCCTTCCATTTCTTTCTCACCAGTCGCCTGCCACTGAGCAATACCCAAAGCTGTCGCCTTAGCATTTGCTCCAAAGGTGTCGCAGCAGCCAGTTGTGTCAAATCAGTGAAATAAATTGTCGTTTTCTAATTACTAACATTGTGCCTGTTGTTCTGTTTATGAATCACAATAGCTTTTCCCTGGGGATGGATGCGTGTTACTTGACAGAGACCTGACCTGGGGGTGGAAAGCTGACACCGGGAACGCCGCAAGCCCAAGCTCCTCGTTCAGCGGCTCTCAGGACAGGCGTTAAACCAAGTGACCCTCCGTTGTCTCTAACGCAGCAGAGATGCTTGGAGGGCGGCCCGTGGCCATTTTCACCCGAGGGTAGGCGTTGGTCCAGTGCTCTGGGTTTTAGCCTGACTTCTCCTATAAATCCTTCTGTTGTTACAGTGGTAGTCAGAAACACATTCCTGGGAGTCTTGCACAAATTTAAAGATGTCTTAAATCTGTCTGTGCACTGGAAGTCCCAACGCACTGAAACAAAAGAGCTTTTAAATTATTCGAGACAATGATATTTTGACAGAAATGAAGGCCTTATGCCTCTTTTTACACATAAGAAATCAGTCAAATAGGTAATTTTAGAAAGGTTACAAAAATAACAGTGCTGTACATCACCGTTTGTTCCTACTAAATATGTGTTTTGTTTTACTACGATTTCAGGAACATCTGTGGCATTTTTATCATCTCTCTAGTCTCTTTCTGCATTTTCTCAGTGGCTAAAATATTAGCATTTGGAAGAAGAAAATACAGGGACACAATCAAGCGTATCTGCAAAGGCAAAATACGCTAGCCGTGGCTTTTGGGGTTTGTCAGAGAATGTAGAAAACGAGAAAAAAAAAAGGTTTGTTAATTACACTTTGGAGTGGTAGTTTGAGAAGTTGCTGTAAAAATTCCCTTTGCAAGTCAAAAACTAAATCCGCACCAGCTAGGAACTGGTCTGACTGGTTCTGACTTGCAGAAAGTGGGCTATAGCTGGGAGTGCTGGGGTGCAAACGGCAGGTCTCTCCCCCAAATTGCAGCCTGTGAAGTCCTGCGGCACGGGAGGCTGAAGCAGGCGCCGTGGCCGTCCTTTGCCCTTTGGGCTCTTGGCTTGTTTCTTTTGGTACCAGCGGATGGAGGATCAGAGCAATCCCGAGTTCAGTTTGGGAAAGTTCACGCAGGGTACAGAAAATGATTAACAAAGCTTTGAGCTGGCAGGTTTATTTGCCAGGTGATGAACTACTGGGAAGGTATTTCAGTTTGAAGGACTGAGAAATCAACTGTCAGGGCTTTTCTCCGTGGATTTCAAATTAGTTTATAGTGAGCTCGTGTCCAGGACACATGGAAGAACTTATTTAATTTGAAATAAATCTACCGAGCCCCACGCTTTGACCATGTGAAGTGGTCCTTCTCTCGTGGCTCCTTTCTCAGTGGAAAAAATCCATCTTGGGAAATGTTTCTGCAGCCCAAAAGCATTAATTTTGAGCAAAAAGCAGTAAACGGAGGAAAGTCCTGGCCAGAAGTGAAATGTAGCATACGATGTGCTCTCGTCTGGCACGAAGGGAGGCGGTCGGAGGCTCGGGATGAGCTGCTCTCGAGCATCTGGGTTTTGCACGTCTGGGAGGAACTGAACACCTGTAATTCCTGTTGCTGTCAATGGGCCAGGGCCTGACATGGCAAAATACTCGCACAAAATGCTTGCACGTCCCCCTGGAGCTTGCATGCATGCTAAATGTCAAGATTCAGGCACTTGTAAAGAGGTCATTTAAAGGCTGTCAGCCCCAGACTAAGCATTTCGCATCAATCTGTCCTTAGCTACTGATATCTAATACAATAAATATTTTACCAAGCTTATTTATTCTCCTTCCTTTTTGCAGTCTTTCAAGTATGCATAGCATTGATGTAAAGGACATTCACACTGACACTGTATTTCACTGGCAAAAAGAAGGAAAGAAAGAAAAAAATCTTTTTTCTTTTTGGATTTATGTCCCGGCTTTACAGTCGGTCAAGCAAAGTGACTGATTAACTGAAGCCCAGGGAGTTCCATAATTTATCAAAAAATGCACTGTATGGCTGAATTATCTCTGAAAAGCCACCAATTGCTTCAAAAGTAGACTTTTCCCTCCATAAAAACGAGCTCACCAGCCAAATGACTCCAAGACGTTCCCGACAAAATGACGGATAACCATACGCTCCCCGCTCCTCTTTACGGGAAGCCTGGCTTCCTCATGCTCCCTCTTGTTTACCATAAAAAGCCACATTAGTCTTTCTCAGTCCAAAATTGCTCTTCCTTAAATTGTGGCTTTTTTATTGTTGCTGCTTCCCTGACATACGTAGACTACGAGCTCGGGTGTTTGAGCCAGTGCCTCCACGGGGATCTATTTTGGGGGAGCTTTCTGAGCTTCCACCCTTTTGGAGGTATTTTCCTTCCCTGGTTGAGGTTATAATTAGTCACAGCATTGATTTTAGCTTTTATTCAGCACAAAAGCCTTACGAAAAACACAGTGCAAGTGAAGTTCATTCTAATTTGGCCATAAAATTTTACGAGGCATGTAAATCAAAGGGAGGAGTGGCAGCTAGTGCTCCGAACACTTGAGCTCTGTTCAAGCTTTCTCCGTAGAATTAGATCCCTCTAGGAGCAATTAGCCTAACAAGCTGTTTGGTCCACTTATAAATAACGTCACCGATGGAGACGTACAAAAGCAAAGGTGTCTGCTCTGTGTACAAGAGACTTTTAAAATACGCTCTGCAGTGATTTTTTTTTCCTAATCCACAGGAGGGGGGGAGGAGGAGATGAAAATCTGATATGCCCCGACAGCTTCTCTCAAATATTTATCATGTCCTCCAGGACTGATATAGCAGGGAAAGGAGTGCAGTACCTTCCAGAGTGTCCTTCTAAATTGCTTGGTAGCTGTGCAGAGGGCCCAGCCCTTCAATGGGAGTAACTCAGAAGCTGCTCCACGCACGGTACACCTGGGCACAGTCCCCGGCTGTGGTCTTCACCACCTTCCCTGGGACAGCCGAAATGGGAGAGGGACTCCTAGGCAAGGGATATCCAATTGCTATCAGCGTTAGAAACACAACCGGCAGAAGGAGGCCCCCCGGGTGCAGTTAGAGCAATAAGATGCTGATAGGAGAAAAGGGCTGGGTGTACGCCAGGGCTCTGCTGCTCCTGAAAGGCCAGAGCGTGGCAGTTTTACCTCTGCGGAGTGAATTTTCAGCTATTATGTTCTCTAGAGGGACGCCACAAGGTGGAGCTGGTTGGAGACGTCTTTTGCATGTGACCGAGTGACTTGGGTTCCTGTTTTCAGGGGTATCTCTGACGGGTCCAGGACCTCATCACCTCGACTTGCTCTGTGCCCTCATTTTTCCCTCCTGCTTGAGAGCTGACCTCATTTTTCTCACCTGGCCCTTTGGCTTGAAACCTATTTCTTTTTGTCTTTTCTTTTTCTAAAAGGACATTGTAGATTTGTAGCTTTTGTGGTCTTACTGTTATGGAGGAACCCTCTGCAGCATGTGGAGAGCTCGCCCCATAAAACCATCTTTATAAGAGGCTAATTAGAACTTTTAAATTGAAAGTATAAATAACTGCCTGTACCCCTGTAAACTCCAACACTTCAAAATAGGGCTTAGCCAATTCTCTGACAAAGCACAAATTCGACTGCTGGTGAAAAAACACACTTACAAGGCGAAAACAGCATCTCAATGGTGATTTCAAGAGTGTCTCTGGCCCACGGTTTTCCTGACTAGCCTGAAAAAACAGAATTTTTTATTTTCAGATGCGAAGCACACAACACTTTTGGAAAACTACATTACTTTTAAGGGCATATTATTAACTATCAGAAATGGAGACTTGCAAACCTTGTTGTTTTTCAGGGTCTCGATCCTATCTTTTATAAAAAAGCCAGTTTAAACTCAGCAAAACAAACCGTAACTCTACACAGTTTTGACAACTAACAAAATTCTAAATATTTAATAATACATTAAAAAAAATTGCTGCTGTGGGACCAGAACACTAGGGAACGGTGCACAAAACAGTTTCTCCTAGAGCTCAGAAGAAGAGAGTTGTAATCTTGGGTGCTATAAAGGAGAAAGCTGTCATTTCTTCCGTATGTTTTTAACACTGGAACTACCGAATTCTTCTCACCCTCTTTCTCTGGAAACCACATTTTTTCCCTTCTGCAAAACAACCCAAATCACGCTCATTTGATTAACTTGGTTAACTTTTTAAACCTTCCTTTTGGGTGAAAGACAGGAAATTCCACTGTTTATTGCTTTTTTTGTCATTCTTTATTGTCCTTAAAGCATGGACTGGACAATCAGTTGATAAGGAATTCAAA